GCTTCTCCCTCTGACCTTCCTCCTTCTCATGCTCTCTGTCTCTCATTCTCTCTCTCTCAAATAAATAAATAAAATCTTTAAAAAAAAAAAAAGAAGATGTAAGATATATAGTTTGAGTCACACGGGCTTCTGGTCCTTGTTAATCTGACTCCTTTCTGATCTCTGTCACCTCAAGCCCTCCCTTAGTCTTTCGGTTCTAAGAGACGTTGGCAGTTCCTTCAGCAGGTAACAGGCCTTCTTTCTTTCCTGCCTGTGCCTTTCCCCATGCTTTTCTCTCTGCCTAAAATGATCTTTTCTGATGTTCTTTGCTGAACTTTCTTTGCTGAACTTTTCAGGACTCAACTTGAATGGAGCCTCCTTCAAGAATTTTTCCCTCACCTTCCAATCTGATATAAGGTCCTCTCTTAAGGGGTTCCACAACATCTGGCCTACACAGCTGCTGTTACTCAGACTGATGCTGACGGTTACGACGACACAGCCAGCCAGTGACAGCACGCCCCAGTCTGGCAGCCCTCAAGCACCTCCCTGAGGGGATACGGCAGCCTCTAAGGCTGCAGGCCAGCGACCACCGAAGGCAGAGAGCTAATGACGCAGCTCGAGTGACCAAGACAAGCTTATGTTGAACAAGGCCTATTCGCCCTCCCTGAAGAGCTAGATAAATCTCAACAAATTTTGGAGCTTCACACACTATGATGGAGAACCCCAAAAGCAAGCTCTATGTAGGCCAGGCAAACAGCCCCATCATTCAAAGATGTTTGAGGAAGGCTCAACTAACAGCTCTGGGATGGCCTCTGCTGGAAAAGAGAGAACTCTGGAGCTGGGGACACCAGCCAGGTGAAGGTCTTACCCGGAGGACTGCAGCTCTCCAACGGACTGTCTGCCCTGCATGGAGCCACCGCTGCCCCCTCACCCCAACTCCTCTCTCGCTTCGGTGGCTCTACAGCAACCACTGCCTAGCTGAGCTCGGGCGCCCATGGACCTGCTGCAAATGGCGTGTGAAGGTCTGTCTGTGCCCCGCGGCAGCCAAAGTTATGGGCCAGGCCAAAGTTCCAGCAAGAAAATTCTAGATTTAGGAAAACATTAAACTGGGCCTCTTCTTAGTTTTTGAAGGAAGCCTGTTTCCTTCTAGCTCATTATTTTGGGAGGACCTTAAGGGCACCAGAAAACTGCCATGTTGCTCAGCTCTTGGTGCGTGTGTGCCAGCTCCCTGTTTCCTTTTGCCAGATAGCACAGAACTGGCTTTTAGGGGAAGCTGTAAGCTGCGGGGGTGGCGGCGGGGGAGGTGAGATGAGCACTTGGAGGGCGCCTGGGCGGCTCAGTTGGTTAAGCGACTCAGGTCATGATCCTGGAGTCCCGGGATCGAGTCCCGCATCGGGCTCCCTGCTCAGCAGGGAGTCTGCTTCTCCCTCTCCCGCTCCCCCCTCTT